AAAAAATCTTCTTTGAAAAACCCCAAATAGCTAGAGTTTAGATATTAAGCATGAAACATCTTCTAGTAAGTGTCTACAAAGTTTGTTCAAATAAAAGCCCTGGGGTCAAAACTGGCCCGGCCCCAGGGGTGTCATTGTTTTTAACTATATGTGTAAAGTAAAAACGTTAAAAAATCTTCTTTCAAAAAGCCCAATGAGCTAGAGCTTAGATGTTTAGCATGAAACATCTTCTTATGGGTGTCTACCGAGTTTGTGCAAATAAAAGCCCTTGATTTAAATTGGCCCTGCAACGTTGGGGGGGGGGGGGGTTGGGGGGGCCTATATACAGGTGAGCGACCTCAGGGCCATCATGGCCCTCTTGTTTATTTTTCATACTAAATTTTTCACCTGAGTGGAGCATATCTCTAAAAAAGCTTTTGAAATCAATATGAAACTTTATAGGTGGATATATCTTTTTAAGGAGGAATGTTGTGCACAAGAATGTTAACTCTACCCTTTATAATTTTTGAGTTATTGACATTTTTTATTTTTCATACTTTTTGTCCGGAGCTTATCTCAAAAGTGTTAGAGGGAATAACTTGAAACTTCATAGGTGGATAGATCTCATTGAGGAGGATTGCAGCACGCAAGAATGATAACCTACCGTGCATTGTTTTTCAGTTATTGCCCTTTGTTATTTTTCATACTTAATTTTTGTCCCAGAGTATAACTACAAAGGCCTTTGAGATATAACATGAACCATCAAAGGTGGATAGATCTTACTCAGGAGGTGATAACTCTACCCTTCATATTTTTTGAGTTATTGCCCTTTGTTATTTTTCATACTAAATTTTTCACCTGAGTGGAGTATATTTCTAAAAAAGCTTGTGAAATGTCAACATGAAACTTCATAGGTGGATAGATCTTATTAAGGAGGAATGTTGTGCACAAAAATGATAACTTTACCCATTATAATTTTTGAGTTATAGCCCTCTGTTATTTTTCATACTTTTTGTCCGGAGCTTATTTCAAAAATTGTTATAGGTTACAACTTCATAACTACAAAAGCCATTGAAATATCAACATGAAACTTCATAGGTAGATAGATCTCACTCAGGAGGTGTGCAGTGCAAAAGAGTGATGACTCTATCCTTCATAGTTTTTGAGTAATTGCCCTTTGTACTTTTTATGCCCCCCTTCGAAGAAGAGGGGGTATATTAATGTTTTGCTAATGTCGGTCTGTCTGTCGGTCGGTCTGTCTGTCTGTCGGTTTGTCGGTCTGTCCGTCGGTAGACCACATGGTTTCCGCTGATTATCTTGAAAAGTATTTATCACAAAGTCTTCATATTTCACATAGTGATTGGTCTTAACTAGTAGATGACCCCTATTGATTTTGGGGTCACTAGGTCAAAGGTCAAGGTCACAGGGGCCTTAATGTTAAAATGGTTTCCGCTGATTATCTTGAAAAGTATGTATCACAAAGTCTTCATATTTCACATAGTGATTGGTCTTCACTAGTAGATGACCCCTATTGATTTTGGGGTCACTAGGTCAAAGGTCAAGGTCACAGGGACCTTAAATGTCAAAATGGTTTCAGCTGATTATCTTGAAAAGTATGTATCACAAAGTCTTCATATTTCACATAGTGATTGGTCTTCACTAGTAGATGACCCCTATTGATTTTGGGGTCACTAGGTCAAAGGTCAAGGTCACAGGGACCTTAAATGTCAAAATGGTTTCCGCTGATTATCTTGAAAAGTATGTATCACAAAGTCTTCATATTTCACATAGTGATTGGTCTTCACTAGTAGATGACCCCTATAGATTTTGGGGTCACTAGGTCAAAGGTCAAGGTCACAGGGACCTTAAATGTCAAAATGGTTTCCGCTGATTATCTTGAAAAGTATGTATCACAAAGTCTTCATATTTCACATAGTGATTGGTCATCACAAGTAGATGACCCCTATTGATTTTGGGATCACTAGGTCAAAGGTCAAGGTCACAGGGGCCTTAAATGTCAAAATGATTTCCGCTGATTATCTTGAAAAGTATGTATCACAAAGTCTTCATATTTCACACAAAGATTGGTCATCACTAGTAGATGACCCCTTTTGATTTTGGGTGTCACTAGGTCAAAGGTCAAGGTCACATGGGCCTTAAATGTCAAAATGGTTTCCTCTGATTATCTTGAAAAGTATGTTTCACAAAGTCTTCATATTTCACATAGTGATTGGTCATCGCTAGTAGATGACCCTTATTGATTTTGGGGTCAATAGGTGAAAGGTCAAGGTCACAGGGGCCTTAAATGTCAAAATGGTTTCCGCTGATTATCTTGAAAAGTGTGTATCACAAAGTCTTCATATTTCACATAGTGATTGGTCATAACTAGTAGATGACCCCTATTGATTTTGGGGTCACTAGGTCAAAGGTCAAGGTCACAGGGGCCTTTCATGTCAAAATGGCTTTCGTTGATTTTTCCATAATTGAACACTTCCATGTACATGTCGTTCGACATTCTTGTTCATACTTAATTTTTCACCTGAGTGGAGCATAACTCAAAAGGTCTTTGAGATGTCAACATGAAATTTCATTGGTGGATTGATCTTATTGAGGAGGAATGTTGTGCGCAAGAATGATACCCTTTATAATTTTTGAGTTATTGCCCTTTGTTATTTTTCAAACTTTTTGTCCGGAGCTTATCTCAAACAGTGTTAGAGGTATTAACGTGAAACTTCATAGGTGGATAAATCTCATTGAGGAGGAGTGCGGCACACACCTACCGTGCATTATTTTTCAGGTATTGCCCTTTGTTACTTTTCATACTTAATTTCGTCCAGAGCATAACTACAAAAGCCTTTGAGATATCAACATGAAACTTCATATGTGGATAGATCTCACTCAAGAGGTATGCAGTACACAAGAATGATAAATTATTCTGCTCTACTACATATGCATGGCTCTTGTAACAAGTTACATTACAATACTTAAAAACCTTCTTAACAAGTTAACCTGTCAATTAAACTCAATGCTATTTGGAGATACCTTAACATTATACTTAACTGTTTTTTTTTTGTATTTTTTCTTTTTTTTCGCCGTGACAATCACATTGCTGCATTTCCCAGCAATTTTTTACTTGTATATATATGTATTGGTTTAATTTAAGAATTACGTTGTAACATCTATTTGCAAAGGTCAATCGTAATATTCATATTACTCATAAAATAAATCTGAAATTTCATGTTTGTATTTCATTTTTAACCAGGTTTTCAACGAAAACCGGGTTATTGTAATGCCGAAGTCGGCGGGCGGGCGGGCGGGCGGGCGGGCGGGCGTCAACTTTTGGTTTCCGCTCAATAACTTTAGTTTGCTTTGGCCTATTGACACCAAACTTGGTGTGTAGGTAGCTTATATCAAGAGGCAGCTTGGGATTGCTACCCAGGTGTCTGTGATCAAGGTCAAGGTCACTGTTACTAAAAATAGAAATTCAGTTTCCGCTCAATAACTTGAGTTTGCTTTGGCCTATTCACACCAAACTTGGTGTATGGATAGCTTATATCAAGAGGCAGCTTGGGATTGCTACCCAGGTGTCTGTGATCAAGGTCAAGGTCACTGTTACTAAAAATAGAAATTCAGTTTCTGCTCAATAACTTGAGTTTGCTTTGGCCTATTGACACCAAAGTTGGTGTATGGATAGGTAATATCAAGTGGCAGCTTGGGATTGCTACCCAGGTGTCTGTGATCAAGGTCAAGGTCACTGTTACTAAAAATAGAAATTCAGTTTCTGCTCAATAACTTGAGTTTGCTTTGGACTATTGACACCAAACTTGGTATATGGATAGCTTATATCAAGAGGCAGCTTGGGATTGCTACCCAGGTGTCTGTGATCTAGGTCAAGGTCACTGTATTAAAAATAGAAATTCAGTTTCCGCTCAATAACTTGAGTTTGCTTTGGCGTATTGACTCCAAACTTGGTGTATGGATAGCTTATTTCAAGAGGCAGCTTTGGGTTGCTACCCAGGTGTCTGTGATCAAGGTCAAGGTCACTGTTACTAAAAATAGAAATTCAGTTTCCGCTCAATAACTTGAGTTTGCTTGGGCCTATTGACACCAAACTTGGTGTATGGATAGCTTATATCAAGAAGCAGCTTGGGATTGCTACCCAGGTGTCTGTGATCAAGGTCAAGGTCACTGTTACTAAAAATAGAAATTCAGCTTCAACTCAATAACTTGAGTTTGCTTTGGCGTATTGACTCCAAACTTGGTGTATGGATAGCTTATATCAAGAGGCAGCTTGGGATTGCTACCCAGGTGTCTGTGATCTAGGTCAAGGTCACTGTTACTAAAAATAGAAATTCAGTTTCTGCTCAATAACTTGAGTTTGCTTTGGGCTACTGACGCCAAACTTAATGAATGGGTAGCTTATATCAAGAGGCAGCTTGGGATTGCTACCCAGGTGTCTGTGATCAAGGTTAATGCATTTAGTTTTCATGTTTTAACTTGAGTTTGCTTTGACCTTTCACCGAACTTGCTGAGTGGCAGCTTTGGATTGCCACTTAGATATCTGGGAGCAAGGTCAAGGTAATTTGCTTACAATAGAATATATAGTATCTACTCAATAACTTCAGTGCACTTTGACCTATTGATTGCTGTCACATCAAAACTTGGTCGTTGAAAACCTGGTTTTCGTCGCATTGCGGCGCTTCTTGTTACTAATGTATTGTGAAAAGAAAAACTGTGTATTTAATGTGATCTAGTAAGGAACTCATTTTTAAATTCAAAGTGTAAGAGAAATACATGTATATTATGCAATTCATCAAGTAAATTTGAAAATAACTAATGCAGCCTAGATCTAATCTTTATTTTCAAATTGAGTTTAACTAACGCTTTTCAGAATATATTTAATGAATAAGTCCATACTTGCTTATTTGTCAAACATAATTTTATTACTTATTATTATAAATCTGATGTAGCAATTTACTTATGCACCGTATAATTATAAGGACTAACTTGTGTTATTTTAGGTACGACCAGTATCATTATACGGCTATAGAGAATGACTTCTTTGTGGTCAGAATGCTCAATGAGACATGAAGAAATTAAACGTGGAAAGTTGAATGTCGCCGTGACAGGAAAGGCAGGAGCGGGAAAGTCCAGTTTTATAAACGCCGTCCTTGGCCTGAAAGTAGGACAACCAGGAGCAGCTTACACTGACGTCAAGGAATGTACGGACTATATATTGTCTTATCACGCACCAAACTTTGAGCATATTGTGTTTTGGGATTTGCCAGGTATTGGTACAGACACTCATAACAAAAACAACTATGTCAAAAAGTTAGGTTTATTGGATTATGATTTTTACCTTGTTATGGGATCTGAACGATTAACGGATGACGAACTATGGCTAGCAAACATTATCCGAAATAGCAATAAAAAGTTTTATTTTGTTCGTACTAAGGTCCATGATGGTATAAAATTTGATGTGTTAAGCCGGGCAAACCCTCGTAGTAAAGAAGAAATTTTGACTACACTACGAACTGACTGTTATTCTAATCTCCGCCGATATGATTTAACACGTCAGGACATTTATCTCATCGATAATTTTAAAACTGATGATTACGATTTCTCCTTTCTGATGCTTAATCTTGAAGAAGAATCCTTACAAGTTAGGATAAAATACGTACTAGCATACTACAATCAGAAAGAACGATCATTTCTACACCAAAGGAAGGTTCTTCTTGAAACAATTGAAAATGTTGTAGTTGAAGCAACAACAAAGTGTAAAGAACAGACGCCTGAATTAGGAGCATCTCTTAATATCGAGGTTTTGCTCCGAGAGACAAAACGTTATATGGAGCAATTCGAACGATCAAGTGATGATATAGAGAAACATGAGGAGTTAACTGGATGGCATAAAGAAGTGCTTCAAGATCTTTTGACAAGAAACAGTGTTGAAATTAATTGTTCGGAGAAGGGAGTTCTGGACTTTTGCAAAAATATTGAACTTTGTGAATTAATTGATGTGCAGTGTGCGATGCCAACTAAAAGTAATAAGAAGACAAAATCATGGTCCTTTAAGATTGCCTTTAAATACTTAAACAGGATACTTGATATTTTGTATCATAATGCATTAAAGATAAACACGGAGATCATTGAAATGAGTATGCAGGGGAAAAACTTTAGATAAACATATATATTATAATTTTGTAATTCTGGTATATAATATAATTGTTTTAACCACTTTAATAAATAAATCTGTATTAACGAAACAGACGTTTTTCAACGTATTACAAAATAAAACGTATTCAAGTAGCTATCTAAATTGATCGAAGAGATTAATAAATAAATTGCCTGTTCATGAAATGGAGAGTTTCTGTCATTACGTCACATTCAAGAGAGAAATGCTCGATCATTTAGTTAACTTGCACATTTAATACAAATATGGTTGAAATTAAACATGTTAATCCAGTGAAACGCAAATTATTTAAATTAATATTTCGTCTGTATAATCGGCTGGACGTTGTGATTGGTTTGACTAATCGATTTGTGAGAAACTTTTCTTAAAAACTAACTGTATACAATTTAATTGTAAATATACTGATTTTAGTTAATTGTATTAATTAAGTACAACTGATAATGAGATTCAGAAATTTATATATGTTAAAGTTTTCATATTCATCATGTAAAAAATGGATACTTAACCGTAAAAACATACAAAAGCAATCAATCAATGCTAAATATATTTGAAACTAACCTTGACTTTAAACTCGGTATTAAGGGTATTTCATAAGAAACCAAACTACAAACAGCGAGACATCTTAAAAGAGAGTTAAACTGATACAATATAATAAGAGGTGAGAGACTTAATTTTGCATATTATATTTTCCTTTGTACTTATCTAACCATGTTGCACATAATCTTGAAAAACTTATTATATTTGTCTTTTATATTTTGACATAGTATTATGAATGAGTAATGAACAGTCTACAGATTTGTTAGGAAAAGAGCTGTCTGTACACGAAAATCTATAAAAATATATTAAAAGGTCACTACAGATCAAGCAATATATGTTAAGTAAATTTCAATACATCTGATCCCAAACTACACAACCTGGAAAAAGAAAACACATTTTGTTAAGACCATCTATGTCATAACATGGCAAATCTATAATGAAATCATCCCATGTGCAACAGTCAGGCAGTTAAAAAAATTCCAATTCATTCCGTAAAAACCAAAATCTACAGTGGTCCGAGACCCAAAACAACAAATTTCGTCCCTCTGGCGAAAAAATACCTGCAAATATGGGCTACAGAAACTCTGTCACTACTTTAACAACTCCCTATACATGCAAAATATCACACAGAAATAGGTGCCTGGCCTTGTAGAGTTTTTGCTATTGCTGAAAGTTTGTACCCCCTGTAAAATTACTTGTTTTCACCGAGCATGTTGTTTAAAACCAATGTTTACAACCAATGGCGGCCTTGACATCTATAATTAACAGCATGTGATTTCGAATTTGCCAATGATCATATTACATGTCACAAAAACAAATTTCATGCTGAAAATGCACTTTAAAGACAACCAGTCATTTAAATCCACAATAGTCACTATATCCATGAAATCCTCCATGCCTAAGTTAGTTTAACCATTATAATTCAAAGAGGAGATAGAAAAAGAAGAAGAAGAAAAAGAAGAAGAAAAGGGATCGCAAAGTTAACAATATGGAAAATGTATTACGAAATATACTAAAACACCGAAAATAAAAGTAGCAGTAACGAAATTTACTGAAAAGAAGGAAAATACTATTTTTGTTGCAATTGTTGAGTCACAGAAGTTATACCAGCACTGCTATGGTCACATGGTAACTTTACTAGTTTATTATTTCAGGCACGAACGTAGAAAAACGAACGTTCTGTAAGATAGCTTAGTATTTTCTACTAATGTTTCGAACCCCCAGTTGCTTGAATAACGACCTTAACCAACTGGCAACAGATGCCTCAAAAGTAAAAATAGGATTGATAAAATGTTCATGACAAACTTAAAACTCATTGAGCATTTTGACCTCAACTTATACCCGTTAAAATTGAAAATGAAAATAGCATTTTTGAAAAGTTCTTAGAAAAAGGAACTGCAAATATGACTCATGATAATTACGGTACGAAATGCTAATTTACCGTATCAATCAATAGTGGAGTATAATAAAATGAACACCCAATCATGACAAAATTATACATCAAACTGCCTGGAGTGTTATTGTAACATATGTACACAGCAGATACCGCTTCAGGGGAGGAATTTAGTTGATTCAATTTATGAGGTAAATGATGTTTATATATTTAAGGTGATTCTGCTTTGTCAGCCATTTTTGTTTTCACTATGTGGGTCCAAAGTGAAAGTAGGCCTAAATTCATATAACAACAAAGCTCACATTGTTATATGATGAGCCATTTGCAAGTACACTTCTAGTTCTATGTTTTAAAGACTATTTTAAACAAAAATAAAAATGATAACAATAAGAAAAATTACCTTGAATGTGCTACATTTCTGAAGACCAAAAACATTCTGTTGCAAAGTTTTATGCACATTTCATGAATGGCAAAATCCTTTTTAAAGTCTGTTTTAGTGCCTACAAAAGCTACTTTTTGCAGAAAATACAAAAAACTTTAAAAAATATAAACCTTAGGAAAGTAGTTTATCTGACCTTGAAAAAACATGGCCACCATGACATGTGTATAAAAGTAGTACCATGAAAATAAACATCATTTATCTATCTCTTGTGTACATGACAAACAGACACACTTCACTGTTACACATAAAAAAGGTTAGATTTTAAAGTTTGATTGTGTTTTCATTTTAATTGTAGTTCATAAGGCTATAAATGATGATTGTTTTCTTGCACTACTTTTTTACAAAAAATAATGGAGGCCATGTGCTTAGAAGGACATGAGATATGGATTTATTTGGAGTTAAGTTTTGAAAGATTTTTGTATTTGCTGCAAAAAATAGCTTTTGTAGGCACTAAAACAGACTTAAAAAAGGATTTTGCCATTCATGAAATGTGCATAAAACTTTGCAACAGAATGTTTTTGGTCTTCAGAAATGTAGCATATTCAAGGTAAATATTCTTATTGTTATCATTTTTATTTTTGTTTATAATTGTCCTTAAAATATAAACCTGGAAGTGTACTTTCAAATGGTTCATCATTTTAAAATAAGAGCTTTGTTGTTATATGAATTTTGGCCTACTTTCACTTTGGACAGACTTTGTGAAAACAAACATGGCTGACAAAGCGGAATCACCTTAAATGGACACAAGTGTTATATTAGATTTTTTTATGTTTTTGTTGTAGTTATCTGATGATATTGCAGGATACCCAAGGCATATTTAGAATCAAATACAAAATATTCTTAAAATCGAAAGTGTAAAGTAGAAATTATGAAAATTTCTTAGAAAAATGAAAGCAAAACTAGGAATGTGAAAATTTTATTACGATTAAAAAATAGATCTCACGAAATTTGCTTATGGGTATGAATTTGAAAAAGTAATATTTATGAAATGTATTTGAAGATATAAAATATGCTGAGACAAACGAAAATTAAATATTAAAACATTTGATTTGTTTTTCTTACGAAATAAACTTAGAAAAAATGAAAGCAAAAGTAGCCCTACGTAAACGTTATAACGAAATAGTATCAAAGAGTAAGAGTAGCATTAAAATTAAACTTAAAAATGTTCACTGATTTCATTGTTTTGTATTATTTTTTTTAGATAATTCAAATAATAGTTGACTAGTCTGATCCGAAAGTGTAAATAAAGTAAGATTAACAGTTGAAAAAGGTAAAGAAACACAACGCCAAAAAAGGGATGACGACTTTTGTTTGTCATATTTCAGAACACTAGTTTAAATTTTGTATCGTTAGCTAATTTTATTACAGAGATTCGAATCCATAACAGTGAGGGGCAATGGTTTTGAAGTCAACGACCTTAACCAATTGGCCAAGTATGCCTTAAAAAAGGATTAATAAGATTTTCATAACAAAATAAACTATATACATGTACTTCGAAATAATCGTTAAAAACGAAAATGAAAGTAACATTTATGAAATAATTTTGAATCTATGTATGACTTATGCAAACTATGTAACGAAATGCTCAATTACGTATCAATCAATAGCTGATTATTAAAACTGAACACCCAATCATGACAGAATTGAATATTTAATGCGTAACCAAACCATTAACATTTAAACGATATATTTTCGCTTCAGTGAGAATTAATTGATTCAATTTCAAGGGTAAACAAAGTTTGAATAATTCATATTCATAAGTTAAATATAAGTTTGTCTTTTATGTTTTTCTTGTAGCTATGTGAAGATATTGTACACCACTTCCTAGCGAGATTCGAACCCACAGCATTGAGGGGCAATGTGTTTGAAGTCAACAACCTTAACCAATCGGCCACATATGCCTTAAAAGTAAAAATGCTAGTAATACAATTTTCATATATACATTTACTTCGAAATAATCGCTAAAAGCGAAAATGAAAGTAGCATTTATGAAAATGAAAGTAGCATTCATGAAATAATTTTGAAATATACTAAGGAAAACCAAACTGAAATATATGTATGACTAATGCAAACTAGGTAACGAAATGCTCATTTACGTTGGGTATATAAATCGAACACCCAGATGTGAAATGTTTTCATTTGTGCGAAACCAAACTGAGAGTTAAACTGATACAATATAATAAGAGGTGAGATACTTTATTTTGCATATTATATTTTCCTTTGTGCTTATCTAACCATGTTGCACATAATCTTGTAAAACTTATTATATTGGTCTTTTATATTTTGACATAGTATTATGAATGAGTAATGAACAGTCTACAGATTTGTTAGGAAAAGAGCTGTCTATACACGGAAATCTATAAAAATATATTAAAAGGTCACTACAGATCAAATAATACATGTTAAATTAGTATAACCATTATAAATCAAAGAGGAGATAGAAAAAGGAGGAGAAGAAAAGAAGAAGAAAAAAGATCGCAAAATTAACAATATGGAAAATGTATTACGAAATATACTAAAACACCGAAAATAAAAGTAGCAGTAACGAAATTTACTGAAAAGAAGGAAAATACTATTTTTGTTGCAAATGTTGAGTCACAGAAGTTATACTAGCACTGCTATGGTCACATGATAACTTTACTAGTTTATTATTTCAGGCACGAGCGTAGAAAAACGAACGTTGTGTAAGATAGCTTAGTATTTTCTACTAATGTTTCGAACCCCCAGTTGCTTGAATAACGACCTTAACCAACTGGCAACAGATGCCTCAAAAGTAAAAAAAGGATCGATAAAATGTTCATTACAAACACGTCTTAAAGCCTTAAAACTTCGATATTCATGTACCCCTTAAAATCGAAAATTAGTAGCATTTTGAAAAATTCTTAGAAAAGGAACTGCAAATATGACTCATGAAAATTACGGTATGATGCTAATTTACCGTATCAATCAATAGTTGAGTATAATAAAATGAACACCCAATCATGACAAAATTATACATCAAACTGCCTGGAGTGTTATTGTAACATATATACACAGCAGATATCGCTTCAGGGGAGGAATTTAGTTGATTCAATTTATGAGGTAAACGATGTTTATATATTTAAATGGACATAAGTGTTATATTAGATTTTTTTATGTTTTTGTTGTAGTTATCTGATGATATTGCAGGATACCCGAGGCATATTTAGAATCAAATACAAAATATTTTTAAAATCGAAAGTTTAAAATAGCAGTTATGAAAATTTCATTTCGAAATATACTTAGGAAAACGAAAGCAAAACAAGGAATATAAAAATTTTATCATGAATTCCAATGAAATTTAAAATTAAATAGATCTCATAGAAATTTGCTTATGGGGGTATTAATTTGAAAAAGTAATATTTATGAAATGTATTTGAAGATATACAATATGCTATGTCAAACGAAAATTAAGTTTTAAAGCATTTGATTTGTTTTTCTTACGAAACAAACTTAGAAAAATTAAAGCAAAAGTAGCCCTACGTAAACGTTATTACGAAATAGTGTAAAAAAGTAAAAGTAGCATAAAGATTGAATGTAAAAATGTTCACTGATTTCATTGTTTTTATCATTTTATTTAGATAATTCAAACAATAGTTGACTATGTTTGGTCCGAAAGTGCAAATAGAGTAAGATTAACAATTGAACAAAATAAAGAAACACAACACTCCAAAAATGGATGGCGACTTCTGTTGGGCATATTTCAAAACATAAGTTTAGATTTTTTATCGTTTGCTTATTTTATTAAAGAGATTCGAACACATAACAGTGAGGGGCAATGGTTTTGAAGTCAACGACCTTAACCAATCGGCCACATATGCCTTAAAAGTAAAAATAGGATAAATAAACTATAGATTTATATATTTTAATAGTCAGAAAAATGTCCTAATTGTCCTAAGTATATTTATATGTTGTGTGTACTTCGAAATAATAGCTAAAATCGAATATGAAAGTAGTAATTATGAAATAATTTTGAAATATACTTAGGACAATTAATGCAAACTATGTAACGAAATGCTCATTTACGGTATCAATCAATAGCTGAGTATTAAAACAGAAAATCCAATCATGACATAATTGAATATTTAATGCGTAACCAAACTGTTACATTTACAAGATATATTTTCGCTTCAGTGAGTATTCATTGATCCAATTAACAAGGTAAACAAAGTTTGAATAGTTCATATTCATAAGTTAAATATAAGTTTGTCTTTTATGTTATTTTTGTTGTAGCTATGTGTAGATATTGTACAATACTTCCTAGCGAGATTCGAACCCACAATGAGGGGCAATGTGTATTAGTCATCAACCTTTACCAATCGGCCACATATGCCCTAAAAGTAAAAATAGGATTAATAAAATTTTCATAACAAAAAAAACTATATACATGTACTTCGAAATAATCGCTAAAATCGAAAATGAAAGTAGCATTTATGAAATAATTTTGAAATATACTTAGGAAAACCAAACTAAAATATATGTATGACTAATGCAAACTATGTTACGAAATGCTCATTAACCGTATCAATCGATAGTTGAGTATATAAATTGAACACATTGTCGTGAAATGTTTTTAGATTAGTGCGTAACCAAACTGATATCATTTAAACGATTTATTTTCGCTTCAGATAAAATTAATGGATTCAATTTAAAAGGTAAACGGAGTTTTAATTTCAATATTCATCAGTTAAATATAAGATAGTACCTCCTTTTCTCAAAATGTGGAACGACAGAAGCACTAAAGCAACAATAGTGTACTTAAATTTCCTAAAAATCGGAAGGGAAAATAACAATGATGAAATTTCAATTTGAATTGTACTACGGAAAGCGAATGCAAAACTAGGAATATGAAAAGGATTAACGAATTTTAGTCATAATTTAATTTATAAAAAATATATAAAAAGAAATTCTACTGAAAATAAAATTATGCTATGACAAACGAAAATAATGGTAGGATGTATACTAAGGAGAATGAACGCAAAAGTAGAAATAAGAAAAAGTTATCGAAAAAGATCAGTAAAGATAGCATTAAAACAGAAAGTAGAAGTAGGATTCACGAAACTTTTAGACTGTTACATTTCATTATTCTTTACATCAGTTTTTTAAATAGTTCAGTTATTGAATTCATTGACACTGGAAATAAATATTAATAAATGACCAAACTGCGGAAGTAAAGTAAGTCAAATTTGAACACCCTTAAGATTTACATCACGACAAAAAAAAACTAAAAAAAAAAAAAAAAGAAAAAAAAAAAGAAAAAAAAAAAAGAGCAATCAACAGACTGATGATGATACTTTTCACAACACAAGTTTAGATGTGATCATGCGTTGATATTCATTGAAATACAATTTGTATATTAAAATAAAATGTGCCCAACAAATGGTCTTACATTTTAAAAAAATCGCCCTCTACATCAACGCGCTTTGCCCACCTGTGCTCCAATTTGTTTAACTTTTCAACGTAGAACTCTCCATTTTGGTCCTAAAAGAACTCATTGAACGCCTCCATGACGCCTTCATTGCTTCCATACGTCTACCACGAAGCTTGGTTTTTAGTTTCGGAAACAGATAGAAGTCAGAGAGGGCCAAGTCTTGAGAATATGGGGGATGGGGAAGAATATCAAAGCCGCAGTCAGTTGTAGCAGCCATCGCAACTTGGGATGTGTGAGCTGGCGCATTGTCGTGCAAGAGCAGAACGCCTTGAATCAATTTGCCCCTCCTCTTACGGGCGATTTCTTGACGCAGACGTCTTAATGCATACTACGTATTGTTTATGGTACGACCTTGCTCAAGATAGTCAATTAAGATTATCCCCTGACTATCCCAAAAAATTGAAGCCATCATCTTCCCTGCTGATGGCACCCTCTTCAATTTCTTCGGAGGGGGTGAGCCAGGGTGCTTCCACAGCATGCTCTGTTTTTTTGATCGAAGTGATGAACCCATGTTTCATCCTGATTACGATCCGGTAGATACAATTATGTTCATCCTCGTAACGAGAAAAAATATATCTTGAAATGTCAAGCCTGGTCCGTTTTTGGTCGTCAGTCAACTGTCTGGGGACCCAACAAGCGGAAACCTTTGACATGTCAGAGACATCAGTCAGAATTGCCCGAATTGAACAAAGCAAGCCTATACTCACTTCCCTAGCAATGCTTCGCAGGTCTCGCGTTCTGTCGCACATGACCAGCTTATGCACAACTTCGGCAGTTTCATCGTTGGTGGCCTCTTTTGGCCACCCAGGCCGCTCCTCATCTCCAATGCTCTCCCTGCCCCTCTTAAATTCAGCAGCCTATTTTTTCACAGTGCTATAGGAAGGGACTCATTCCCAAGTGTATCCATGAAGTCTTCATGGATTTCCTTGGGGACATCCCTTTCTTACAGAGGTACATAATGACGGCTCTGATTTCAACTTTCTCCATTTGGTCTAAATGACATACCCCTCTACTGATCAAAGTATGTTTTATGTTACTATATTTGTGTAAAACCGCGTGTAACTCGGTCAGTAATCTTCAATATGATATCGGTATCGGCGTATCGTGTGTAAATGTCAGTTTAGTGGCTAGAAGCATATCGGACCGAGAACTGATCATACCTCGTAATTATTTGATTAAACTACAAAGGATATGTTTCGTTACTTTATCTATTTAACTATTGGGAAAAATAAGAACTTGAATCATGTCTTTTCCCACTCACCTGATACATATCGTTTCAAATAGAATTATAAGATTTGGCATCTGTATTGTTTGCACAATATTACAAATTTGATATTAAATGTCAAGTTTATAAAAGTATCTTTTGATAAATACCTTTATCTCTGTTAAACTCGAGATATTTTATAACCGTGCATGTTTTTTAATAAAAATTTCATACAGCTTAAATTTTTGAACTAAGCTAATTTTGCTGAAACTGATTTAACTGCAATAAACAGGGTCGTTATTTCTATATATTTCAGTGCCACTTAAAACCAAATTAAATGATGGCTAGCAACAGTACGTTTGAGTGTAACAACATACCTGCTGAAGAAGGAGAATTATTTGTTGATGAGTTCAACAAGCACGGTATTGCTGGTATACAACAATATGTAACTGAAAGACTTAATAAATGGCGTAGAATTCCTTTGCACATAGCAGTAACTGGAAAAGCAGGAGCTGGAAAATCAACTTTTATTAATGTCATTCGGGGACTTAAAACGGGTGAGGCGGGTGCCGCTCATACTGATGTCACTGAAGGCACTAAAACTATCAAGTCTTACAAACATCCTTACAGCGAAAATATAGTATTTTGGGATTTACCTGGAGTTGGTACGGAGAATTTCAAACGGGAAAATTATGATGATAAGGTCAAACTGGCAAAATATGACTTTTTCCTTATATTTTCATCAGAGCGATTTTTAGAAAACGATGGATGGCTGGCAAAAGAAATAAGAAAGATGGATAAACGGTTCTATTTTGTACGTACCAAAGTATTCCTTGATATTTCCAATGAGGCAAAAGGTAGGGCATTTCCGCGTTCAAGAGATGACATTTTGAGTCATATACTAATCGACTGTCTACAGAACCTCGAAGGATATGGTATATCGGACAGCCCTGTCTACTTGATCGACAACTTTGAACCATACGACTTTGACTTCGGTAGGCTCCAAGCAAAGTTAATCGAGGATGCACCACAACTAAAACGAGAGGCATTGGCTTTTTCAATTATTGGCCAAACCCAGGAAATAATGTTGCAGAAGAAGAAGGAGCTTGAAAAACGAATTCCTATCATTTCATTGGCATCTGCAGTGGCTGGTGCGGTTCCCATTCCGGGCTTTGGCACGGCTGTGGATGCTGGTCTAATGATTAAAGAAATCATGTTCTACAGAGAGCAGTTTGGTTTGACCGAAGATGCAATCAAAAAGAGTGCAGTAATGCTAGGAGTGCGCACAGAAGAGCTGAAAAGCCAACTTGATATGAAAGAATTGTTCATTAATTGCACAAAGAAAGGAGTACTAGCGCTTTGTAATGCATTTCTCATATCGCAAGCAGCGGAAGAAGCTACAAAGTTCGTGTTACCTGTTATAGGAAGCGCCATAGCTGGCATATTATCATACAAGTCAACTTCCTACTGCATGACAAAAATTCTTGAAGGGATGTACGAAGATGCTTTGAAAATCAACATGAAACTGAGTATGTATTTAGCACAATCATCGTCAGTTTAACGACTTCTTCTCTATCTTATTATATAAACAAAAGGGTTAAACATGATTTTTGTGCGTTTATATTTGAGTGAAATGTCTAGCCTGAGGTAGTGTAAGACAATTTTTATTCAAGCTGTTTTAAGTTTTAAATACTTTATAAAAGCTTGTGACAATAATATGTTTGTCCATATAGTCGTTATGCGCACCAAGTTTTTTTTAAAGATATCGTTGAAAAAACATTATTGAATTGTAGCGATTGTTTTTTAAAGTCAAAAGATATGAAGTTTCACATGACAACTGTTTATATTGTTTAGCCTGTGTGACTAGTTTTAAATGAATTATTTAAAACTATTCCAGCAAATAAAGACGTTGTCAATTTCGTTAACATTAATTTGTTTTTGGGCAATTTGTCTCTGATGCTTTTTCTGTTAACAGGTATAAAATGATATGGCCTTTATTTAGACGTGACGTTTCATTTTTAGCAACTGAAATCATTTCTTCTTATGCAAAATGTTCTATAAATATTCACTCGCCGTATGGTTTCCTTACCTAAGAGGTAGTTCAGATCATACTAAATATTTATTATATAATAACAGATGTAATTTGCAAAGTGAATATCTGGTGGAACATTGCTAAACTATGGTAACGGCTTGTGATTATGAATGAAAGACGTTTTTCTCTTACGTATTAAACAAATAATTTTCCTTTTTTTCGTTATTGATTTTCTTCTTTTTTATTGACAAACGTCCCATGACTTGCGAATTTCTCACATTCAAAAAGTCATTATGTTTATGTTAATATGTTTGAAGTAAGAATATTACAACTCCCTGACTTATTCGCTGTTCAGCATGAATAATATTTTCGTCATTCAAAGTTGGTTGAGGTTAAAACTTTTATTATTGTAAAATTACTTGCCCAATGTGATAATCTTTATGATTTTGGAAACATTAATTTTCATTTTCTATTACACAATTACCATAATGAAAGTTTAAATGTTACACAACAACTGTTTTTCTCGTTTTTATATTTGTTTCAGATAAACAACTTTTTTTATTTACATTTTGATTTATCATAAAATGCTGTTGTTGCAACTATATTGATTGGTCAATTTAGACGTTTGTATTAAAATTTTATAAACTTCTTCTGTAAAGTTATGAATATATTTTGATTTTTAATTGATATATTAATAAATTGTATAACATTATTAATCTGTGATAAAGACCTTTAAACAACTAATGAGAATTTCTAGCACAGATAGTTGGAGTAAGTTTACAGCAATCATGTATTTTATGATTCTGTTGTAAAGTTGGATTCAAACTAAACAGCGTATGTAATTATTACATAATATTGCATAATATTACTCAGCATATATGATAATCATATATATTGTTGAAGAAACACTAAGGGTTTGAACTTTAACTTGGATGAAAGTGTATTGTAAATTTTTACGATATTCTCTACCAGTCACATAGCATGGTTTAAGAGTCTTGCATATAGGTATATATACTTTTTATAGAACATGGTTCTACTTTCACTTACACTAGGTTTTTAACTTAGTGAGATATATGATGTTGATTGTGCATTCACATATGTTTATAAATATGTTTACTTTCGTAATAGTATTTTGATTCTTTTAACTGCTGTGTAATACTTAGATATTATAATAATCTTTTTTAGAAAATGTTAATATTTGTGCATGTTACACTTTTCCATGAATCATTATAAGAATAGTTGTGTAAAGAATGATAAACTTAAAGCATTTGTTAAGTAAACTCTTGTTAGCTGAACTTTGCAGATCAATTCAGAATTTCATTTAACCCGGACATCTTAGGGAGATTTGACATTCATTTACTAGTTTTTGAAGCATTAGCATCTCTTAAAGTTCACTAAGGTTAATTATTGATTATTAAATATAATTTAAGCACCTTCGCATTATGTACACCCTAGTGCTTATCTAAATTCACTAAATTTGTAAGTAAGTTTAGTAATTTCCTTTTTACAGAAGTAAATCAGATTAGTTAAAATCTTTTCTATGTTCTAACTGGCAGCGAACTATAAGATCTTTATTTTGTTGATGTAGATTAAAACAGAGCTTGTTACTATATAAATATTTTCTATTTATCCTGTCACTTGTATCAATTTCGGCCCGATAACAAGGTGCCGTATATTTTTACTGATCTACGGCACTTGATCACGTGGTATGCATGTTTGCCGGACTACTTTTCAAGAAAAAATATAAAAACTGTCGTTAAATCTTCTGTGTGTAGAATAACGAATTTTGGAAACGTTGATAAAACTTTGTTTGTTTATTTTATTTCACTCTATAATTTTTCAAGCGAAATAAAAATTATTAAAAGTGAAATAATATAAAACTTAACTCGTTTGCGACATTAAAATAGCGTACTTGATTTGATTGTTTTGCACGTGCTGTTTGGCGCTACATTGTGACGTCACGTAAACAATACTTTAAACGTCTGTACAGCGTTAACGACTGAATAAAAGATATTGGTGTTCGAATTCATTTTCTTAGTTAGACCATTTTCTTTCATTCTAGATACTTTTCACAACAAAATTCGACAAAAAATTGTTTTTATTTATCACATTTTTCAAACAAAATGGCGCCCTCAATGTGAAAATACACAGGAAGATAACAAGAACGGCGAGTGCATTGTTGTAGAATAATGAACGCTTCGGGCCTTCTTTGTTTATATAGAAACATTTCCGATAGAGTGATTAAAGGTAGTTTGCCTAATAAAAGTCTTTAAAAAAAACGGTGACAGGATAAATAGAATAATAGATTGGTGCCATGGATGGAGAAAGTTTATCTGGCTCTGCTCCGGAATTTATTGGGTTCGCCTTCGGCTCACCCAATAAATTCCTCCGCCTCGCCAGATAATCTTTCTCCATCCACGGCACCAACCTATTATTCTCTATTTATAGGTCAGAAAAATTGAGGTTATTTTTCTTATTTCAAATGATTATTTTATTTGTACAATCTTTCAGTTTGTCTCCTCTCCTCCTGAACTAGTTTATTTTGATTATCATACTGTTGTTAAATTTGAACTGTTTCTTTTAAAGTACATATTGATAACTTGTTTAGTTATAATTAGTTTAATAGAAATTTAATTGATTGAAACTAAATCAATATTTGTGTTTTATTTCCCTTTGCATTCAAAGGGTGATCTCATCCTAAGGATAAGAATTTACCTTCATTATGAAATCTTTTTTACCACTTTTCCTAACCAAACTATTTAACAACATTATATAACAAGAAATAAGGTAACTTCTGAACATATGTTTAGAAACGTTTATACGTGTTATACTTTAACACCGAAACAGTGGTGTCAAAAGTAGGATAGTTTTGAAAATAGTAAATCCTTTCAGATTTTTAGAATATATGGATTTCTGTCAAAATACATTTGTTAATACAAAGTCAGTTATTAATAGTACTAAAGTCAAGTCACATTGATAAACAATTTTGACCTTCATTTTATTGTTTCTTAGTGATATGTTTTCTTTCAACTGGTAGGGGAGACCGGAAGGTTGAAGCTTGGTGCAAGCTAACTTAGGTTTGGTTAACATCATATAAGGTAGGACAGTAAATACATTGGCATCCTTCTGGCTATACGTTGATTTTTCCTCCTTTATAAAATCTTGTTGCCATAACTCCTCAGTAAACTATTAAAAAACATAACATAATATCAAATTATGTAAGCGCCACAACAGTTCCTCAGATATATCGGTAGTTACATATACCTGATATTACCAATATTAAGGAACGTTCTTGAACTGAAACACGCAAACCTGTGTTAATTTTATATTATATTATTTATTTATATTAATTTTATGCAGAAACATAAGACCAGGAACAATGAATGTTTATAGATTGTAAGAGAATCAATATTTGTCTTTAAATCATGACAGCACAAAAATGATTTGCAAGTTGAATCAACGAGTCACATTGTACTATTGATTTACATTTACAAACAATAACAAAACAAAACATTGTTTCTATACAACGGGAAGTCAAGTAAGAGTGGTTTGTCATCTATTAATAAAGAAGAATATAATTATTAAAATGATTGAACATGTTGTCATAGAGGTATAACGTAGTCTAGAGTATATTTGCTCGGATAAGGAGTATCGGTCAATAGATTTGCAACATTGATCGAATGGAAGACGTAACAATGATAATTGTTTTGCTAGAAATTGATTTTATTTGACCTGATGTGTAATAATTTACTGAATCTTAAGAATACGTCACTTATACATAATCTATGACAATGTTCTTTTTTTTCTATACAGCAATGTTAATACAACAAAAATTCCTTTTCTTAAATTAATTTTTTATTTTCAGCATTTAGTTGAAAACACAATTTTCGGAGATTCTAAGAAACGGTTTATAAATTTATTATTTTCGTATTGACTACCATATCATTCTGAAGATCGGAAATGAGTTGTAATTTACATAAACTGCAGTAAAACGAGTTTAGGAAATTGTCAAAAGCGAGTCAGAGGTTTTACTAAGCTAGCCAATGAATGTTAGTTTTAATAATTTATTTCAATTTGTACAACATAAGTACTCGTATATACAGTAAGGATATACAAACACATCGGTAGATTTCGTGGATTGGAAAACAAGTCAAACGTGACTTATGTAAATTCCTTTCCACACATAATGTACTTGCAAATAATACAGAAAAGAGCAAAAACAAATTAATAATAAAACTGAATAGATTTTTAGTGGACACTGTTGCTTAAAGTAGAAAATAAGAAAGGTTCTGTTTCACCATTATCTTATCATATGAACAGATTACTCCAAACAGTTTCTTTTGCAAAATAAATTTTTGTTTTAAACCAGTATTTAATGTAAGTTAACTATTCATATTGTTTCAAATGAAAAAGAAGACATAAAACATTTAAATTAAGTTTAGAGTTAAGATAAATAATAGCAAATATGTCTGAACACAAAATTATCGGGAAATGATGGTCAGAAAAAAAGGGATATTAGTTGGTTAAACGTTTCGAAGCTAAGATTAACTGTTAAAGTTTAAAAATGATTGTTTTTGTTCAGGTTAAAGCTCAGGCGCTCGCCTCCGTACAAGAGATTTTTAAGTGTCAGGGGACTTGCAGAATATGAAAAGTACATAAAGACAAACAAATGGTATTATTTACAAAAGAAATCATACGCATAAAAACATAACAATTACAAGTTAATGAAATAAGCATGGATGTTTTAAATTTTTCATTTGCTGATAAAGTGTTTTGTTTATTGTCGAAGTTGAAAGAAATGTTAAGTGCTTTGTGCAAACGTGTATTGTACAAGATGAAACTGGTGCATCATAACTTTTAAAAACAGGACAATATTTATCAATTCAACAAAATGAATATAGAAACTTTAAACTTTATATCATTTGCAAGATAAATCAAATGTATCAAAACATGAAATAACAAGTTTAGCATTACGGTAAAGACGTTTAAAACTTCATTCTTCTTAGATTAATATTTTGTTAAAGAGTATTTTATTTGGTGTCGACGAAGTTTAAAGAAAGCATTCATTGTCTGGTGCAGTTCAACATGAAAAACATTGTGGGCCTACTTATTTGTGACTTCATATGTAGTTAAAATCATTTACAAAATGAACGGTTCAACATAATAGTGGTTCAAAACAAAACACCAAACAATAATAACAATAAAATTAAATAATTGTCATCATTTCCAAAATGACAGTTATGTAAAGACAAGACAATATTGTTTAAACTTACAGATTAATGAAATAAGTTTATATGTTTGCATCTTTTCCATGGGTTATATTTTCAGTTTCAACGATATTTTGTAAAGAAGAACCTATTATTTACAAAGTTGGACATCCAGAATAGGACAATTACATGTAGTTGAACTAAGTCAAGGGAAACAATCTTAATAACAAATATAATTATAGAGTAAGCACTTGGTTGTGTCCCTTATACTCGTAAGAGATTATATACTGGACAAACATCGTTTTAGTTGAATATTGTTTTGGTTGGTATCATAACATTTCCCGTGACATTTCTTAATTCTGTGAAAGGTCAAAATTAACAAGTTTCATTGGCTAACAAATAAATAACATATCATTTTTTCACGTTTGGTGGGATTTGTAAAAAGTAATCACTTCGGTCAGGGAAATTGTTGGAGAAGTATGGTTTTCAGCCATCCTTAACAGAATAGAGCTCGTCTTTATTTACAGTCAGGTAAATCCCAGGTTGTCCCTGTCCTGTCCTTTTTTTATTGGTTATGTAAAATTATGATTGAATTCATTTTAATCCAGATATTTTCTATACCATTCTGAATCAGCTGTTTTGTCAGCTGAATTGAATTTTTATATTTTTAAATACAACTTCATAATTAAACATTTATCTAAATATGAAATTAATTACAATTAACTTGCTTTTGTTTGATTGTGCTTGCTTATTTATGCTTTTTGTGTATTTGTAGGATACCCTTTTTATTACGACAATTGAATTGAAGTGAACCTACAAACAATAAAATATATTTAACTGTGACACCCTCAGAATTGTTTATTTGTATCTGAAACATCCAACTGTCACAAATGGCGCCCTTCGGGGGACTTTATATAAAGGGTGTCTCAGAGATATTCACAACATGAAAGCATATACTATATGGCGAGATCTACTCATAAATAACGTATACTTTAGTTAAAGTCGAATTTATATATATTATATAAAGCATTATAATGCCTTCTTCAAAAAGAAAGAAAATAATATGCTAGCTTATAGCTGCAAATATAGTTTATGAAATCTTTGACTTACTGTTTTAAAGATGTAAATAATTCAACAGTTAAATGCATGCCGAGTTATCAAAACATAACAGATAAAACACAACGTGACATAATTATTGTACACTGTTAAGCGGTCAATCTTTGACAGAAATGAGTCAACGAAATGTTAGATTCTTATTAACACATGATTATATCAACCTGTTTAAAACTTTCTTTTAATTTATAAGCAGACGCTTATCCGGCCTTTGTATATCAGATTAGGGGTGTCACGTTTATCTGTTTAAACGGGTAGGTCGGTGTTTGGCTAAGCCCCGGTTAGAAAATTCAATAACCGGTAACGGAGTTTAGTTTTTGACAAAGGGGCGAACAAGTTTTTAATTGATTCTAAATATTACCTTAGTCTTTTGTAACAAGTTATGACAATTTGTTTGTATTTTTGATGTACTCAACAATGTTTGTTCCCGATCTGATCGTGTATAATATGACCCTAACGGAAAACAGTTAATCCATATTCAGATATGTATTGTTATCAGAGAATACGAAAAAATGTCATATTTTGTTATAAAGAAACAAAGATAATGTTGAAAATCTTAGGATTTTATAAATACGATTGGTTAAACGTTCACCACGGTTATAATTCAACGTTTAAACGATAAGCATTTTTCCTTACCGTGACACCCCTTTAATATGTGTAATGTTAAGAATAATGTAATTGTTTATTACAAATATTATGATACATATATTTAAAAAAATCAATTTATGACATTCTACACAGTGAATGATTAACAATTTACGTGAAAATGATAACATAGAGCAATTTTCATGGTATAATGTGTTAACTAGAGCTTACAAAAGAAATAGCAATCATTTATCATTTCTTAAATTTCTGCTTTTGAATTATAATTTGTTCTTGTACATTCGGCATATTCTCAGTTATTATTTTCCTTGTCCCACAAAAAATCTACAAAAAGTGTCGATCTTTTAATCTGGAGACATTTCAATATATTAACTGACATGATAACACGGCACGAACTTACAGGTTTGTCCGTGTCGCATTGGAAGATTATGTTGCCGCTAGCAGGGTTAATTCAGTTACAAGCAATACTTATAGATTTTAAACTGGACATAGAAACTTATACCCATAATAGATTTTATATTCTTGCATAGCAGACTGGCGTTTCCGTGAGTTTTACCCATGCCGGAAATTTCATCTGGGATGGGGGGTGCCAGATGAGTCGCGTGTCAAACAACAACGTCATTTTAGCGCACTTTATGAATGAACCGCGTTAAAATGACATCGTTTTAGAAGAGAAATATGTGCTAAGGATGACGTCATTTCGTCGTTGTTATTTAAGTTGTAAGTTCATACGCTATTTTAAGAAAATAGTTATGGATGAAATGACTTTAATTTTCATGAACATATATCATATTGAGGTAAACCATTTTAAATATGAAATAATATGGCAGAATATGCAAGAAAAAATATCGGACATACTGTAGTGTTGTTAGTATTTAGAGATTAGCTCCGCCAGTGACAATATGGCTGAAGCATTACCAGTTTTTCCAGCATTTAGTGTAAATGAACCAGGCGTTGACACAAGATGAAATTTGGTTTTTATCTCATTTTTGTAGAGATTTCCAACATTTTTAACATTTGACAAGTATATTTTTAATGTGTTTAAAGCACAGAAATGCCTATCTATTAACATAACTACTTGTTTTTTAAGTTTTTAGAGCAATTTGATAAAATGTGCTAGATAGTTGTAATTCATTGGGTACAACTAGATCAGACCAAAAAATAATTATTCTGTAATCAATATCAATAGAAATTGGTTGAACACCACATTCTACGTACACAAAACAATTTGGTGTACTAGATTTAAGGCCATATATATGTTTAAGATATTTCAATTGTACCTTTTCAAATATACTGTTATTACCATATCCCAAGCATTCACAACCATATCGTAAAATTGGTTTTACAAGTTTGTCAAATAAATCTATTTACATATTCAAAGGTACTTAAAGTGTTTTTTTCAATTAAACAATACAATTCATTTATTGCTTGGTTACCTATATAAGTCTTTGCTTTTAAGAAACTACCATTTCTACTAAATAATAATCCTAGGTATTTGAATTCCTAGACAACTTCTAGATTTTCATTACCATGTGTAAATTTATACTGCGTTCGCCTACCTTTTACAAGAACTTTTGTTTTAGATATATTCACTTTTACTTTCCAGTTGTCACAGTAATTTTTATGTAGGCTGATAGCAATTTGTAAATCGTTTGCTGACTCAGATAAAATAACAGTGTCGTCAGCATATAGAACAATAAACAATTTCACAATGCCAAGTACTTCTTCATTAAATGTTACACGTTCTATACTATTACTATTTGTAAAATAATCATGCAAATCATTCAAATAAAAGAAAAGAAAGCAACGGCGATAGATTAGTGATAAAGTTATGTACATAAGAGACTTCTCGCTAATTGCGACTAGCAACGTAATAACAACACGAACGAGCGTGTCATACACGCTAATCATTTGTATTTTAACCATTACCATGCTAAATATCTTCAATCTGGACAAAGCCATTCATCATCTTTACTGGAATTTTTCAAAATATGTACTGACTGAAAAGCAAAAATTGCAGACCACGACCAGAATGCACAGGTGTGTTGGTATGTATTTGTATGCACCGGTCGCATAGGTTGAATCATCCAGTCAGCAGACAAATTGTTAAGTATATCCCCAATACAAAGAAAGAAACAAACAATAGTATATAAGTCTACGTATTTTAACGTTTAATATCTTTACGACTATGAAAAATAATAAATAAATAGTTAATTTCAAAATTCTACGTTTACTTTTTTATTCTTTAGAACATAACAGTGTAGAAAATTGTAAAACAATTCAATAATACCGTATGATGAATATAGAAACAAGAAGTTTGAAATATGTATATGCACTAAACTGTTATAACAGTGCACCAAAATCAATGATGATAAGACTGATTGTCTTAACTAACACACGCTCGCAAGCTTCGAACCAAATATCAATTGCGCTCTTTTGACACCTCCCGGCGTAATAATTCATGGACGGACACCTGAACTGAACCGGAATCCTGGTTACTTCGAGACTTGAATCAACTGTTTCTCGCTTTCGGGTGTTATTCTGGCCATCACCGCACCCAGTGTGTCTGACTGGAACCGAATGTGCTGGAATTTTCTATCAAAAGAAAACGATAAATAACCGTATTGACAACTGTTACAAACTTAATTCCTAATATGTCTCTATAAATCAACAACATATATTCTGTACACATTTAAAAATATTTTAGTTAGAAGAATGGAACAACTTGGACAGCTCCGTCAACATGGTCACGTGACTGAATTTCACATATTGTTACTGTCAGTTTGTAAAATAATAAAATGTAAGACCATCCTTAACTATAAATTTAATTAGATTATAGAGGGAATGATATAGAATTTATCTAATGTTAAAATCTTCTACTAGATTTGGCTTGAATATACTCTTTAGGAACATGAATACGTTCTAATTATACGGTATGGACATCTTTTGACTTCATGTTATTATAAAAATGTTAGTAAAGTAAATTAGAGTTACTTGTAAACGATTAATAGAAGCAATACACCCTTACACTTTCATGTATAAGATATTTTCTCTTTCTATGGTACAGCAACTCCGAATTGAAAGTAAGGTACTATTACAAACCGTTTGACCATTATATCATTGTAAATAGTTTGCTATAAAAATACTGAGTGTATCGACAAGGCATGCAGGAGTCTTATTAACTTGATTCTGCAATGTCCAGTTTACCATCGACAGCACAGCGTCAGGTCCGCTTGTATCTTCACCATCTGGACCTATCGTTTGACCTTCGTCATAAAGGAAATATGATAAACAAGATCATCAAGGAAAGGCGGCGTTCAATGAACGCAGCCAAGTTGAGTTGTTGTAGGATGTTATCCAGTCTGGATTTTACGCAGGGTTAAAAAGTGTATTGGGCCGATCTAGTGAGACAAAAAAAGGCAAACTGACATTCTCACTGAAGAGACAAACTTTTCTTCAGTGTCACGTGTGGCAACACTACGCCGTATACCCTCATTACCTAATTAAATAACAAAAAAGAGATCCATAGTTAAACATAAATTAAAGTGATATTATGCCTATCCAAGTATAAATGGTGGGTGAAAAGGTCAAAGTCAAAACAACTTGAGATTGTTCCATAATAGGTTTCATTTTTAAATTATAGATACAAGTCTTTGTCCATAATCAATAACACACATGAATCACAATAATTTCTATAGATATCCTTCAGAATATGTCGTTAATGCTCCGTTGATAAAAAGAGTGGGGCAGGCCTTTTATATTTCAGGCAAATTATCATGCTTTATCCTTGGCAATTTTCATAATTTACTATTGTTCAATGGTCATTATAATAGTCAATCTTTTTAAATATATAGTCAATCGAACTCAACTAGACAGATTGAGCGTAATGTACCTTGAAGAAAGAGGTAAAAACAGCGCATTTGAACCTTATTAAAGCAACGATCTTTATAATTACGGTACAAAAATCAAGATATCACCTGAATAGGTAACATATGGTACTAGTTTATGCTTTTTAATTCTTTAATTCGTTCAATATATGAAAATATAATTTCGCTTCAATCCCAAAATATATAGTATTTATACAGAAATTCATGCTAGGGCTTTAGA